GTCCATCTCATGGAGCCTTTAGGTGAATTTAAGAAATGAGGAGGGCACGGGTTGTGGCTCAGTGGTAGAGCACTTGCCTAGCATGTGTGAGGCACTGGTTTTGATCCTCAGCACCACGTACAAATAAATAAATAGATAAAATAAAAGTAAAAATGTTAAAAAATAAAGAAAGAAAGGAAGAAACAAGGGACTCAGGTTCACTTTGAAGTGACAAGTCCATTTATTTCCCTAGAGACAACTCCTATCCTCATGCTTCTCTGAACATTTTTTTTTTCAGTCCTTCCTTGTGTTGAAATTGGTAGGACTTTATGGTTGCCTTTTTACTTTCTCTTCTATCTCTGGCCTAGAAGTCAACTCATCTTCCAGCAGACTCCACGTCTGGAGAACCCTGATGATTCTGCTTTAGTCTGTCAAAACTTGGTTACCACTCCACCCCTTGGGTCACATTCCTGAAAATGACCTTGTCCTTTCCAAAGGTAAATTCTCCACTGTGCTTCTGGGAGGTATGGAAAAACCACATTCAGCAAGTCTTTTAATTTTTTTTTATGTCTTTTAAGATAACATACCTTCTTAAAAAAAAGATTAAGATTGCTTCATTTATTGGTCATTTAACAGTTTCAAACAAGACCGTGTTTCTATGGAAGTCTAAAATTATTTGGCACTCTTTTCTGAGCTTTGTGAGTAAATGAAAGAAAGAAAGAAAGAAAGAAAGAAAAGAGAAAAGCAGCTAAGAGAGAGGAACAATCCTTTAACAAAACTTATCAGAAGTGACCCACGGTACATCTCTATTTCTGTTACCCAGAACAAAAATATGGGCAATTATATTGTGGTAGGTTTCAGACTATGAATATTTACTTAACAATAATGGTTCCTCAAGGGCCATTATGAGTTATTGGGAAATAAAATATTCATAGGTGTAAAATTGAAATTAGCCTACATGAAATTTTCCTGGAGTTTACCTCTACAGAAAGCATTTTTGTTGAGGAGAGGCCGGCCTGGGAGTTAGTATGCGCTAATATTCACCATAAATAATTAAAAATTCTGCATCAGTGGAATGCTCCTCTCAGAGCTAAGTCAGCCAAATCTCTCAAAATCATAGAGGCAGAACCAACTTACATTTTATGACTCCTGAGGATGACTGCCGAGAGAAGGGCCAAAGGAATTCAGCAGGCAGAGCAGGAGAGGGAGACCTCAAAACAATCAGCACAAGTCTGCTTCCAGATTTTTTTTTTTTCAATTGTTTCAACATTTTTTTTTAATATTTTTTTTTATTTTTTAGTTATCGGCGGACACAACATCTTTGTTTGCATGTGGTGCTGAGGATCGAACCCGGGCCGCAACGCATGCCCGGCGAGCGTGCTACCGCTTGAGCCACATCCCCAGCCCTGCTTCCAGATTCTTGATCTCACCCATATTTGACTGTAAGTGGTGTGATTTCAGGATCCCAGCCCTCAATTCTGGCTGGGTGCTGCAAATGTGACATATTTAAATACATATTTGGGGATGAACTCAAATTTCAAAAATCCCTAGGAAGAGTGCCATAGAGAGAAGGTTTGTTTCAGAGGAAGAAAAGAAGGAGGCTGTGAGTTTCAAGGCACCAGAGGTAGAGTAGTAAGCTGCTAAGAGGTGGACAGAACCAGAATGGGATGAGGGCTTGACACCTTAGGTACTCTCGCTCAGCTAAAGTTGGAGGAAGGAAGAGCCACCACACATTGTGCTTCTACCAGGGACCCCAGCCAGACTTCCCAATAGTTACCTTCAAGTCCCATTCTGCTTCTGGGCTTGAAGGAACCCCAAATCTCCCCCAATCTTTTGCATTAGTCCTGAGAGTCTGAGATCTTTCTTCTCGAGTATGAACTCATCTGCTTTTATTTTTTTTTTTTTGGTGGGGGGATTGTCAGAGTACTTCCTCTTGTATTGTAGCATCAATATTTGTAAACAATGGGTATACATTTTTCAATCCTATATTATACATATAGCATTTTGCAGATGATGAATTTGGAAGGTACATGCAGGAAACAGCTTCAACTGTTCTCTCACAACTTCCTTCAAACATGTTCTTGAAGGATCTCCCCTCCTGATCCTGGAACAATGATTCAGGCTTTTCATTAACTCTGGACCATACCAACAGACTTATCTAGGCCTGGATTTCCATGCAGATGCATGTGTGTGAAGCATCACTCTGATCTCTTGTGGAGCCTAAAGTTGAAGAAGACTGGAACATCCTCTCATTCTGCCACATTGATCTAGTCTTTCTGCTGTCAATTCTAGAAATAAATATTAAAGCAAAAGATGTTAAGGAAATGAACAAAATTAATAAAATATTCCCCCAGTGGGTTTCAGTACTCTTCCTGCATTGACTCTGCATTAGCACTGAATAAACAGGAATAACTTCTGTTTCTAGGTCCAAGCTTTGAGCAAATGTGTGAAGTAAGTGAAATGTGGTTTGCATTAGTCCTTTTTGAGAGTCTGTGGTTTGGTCTTTTTCTACCCAAGACATCTTGGAATGAAATGCCCCACCCCCAACTCCAGGGGGTTTGCACCAGGGTGTTACATCACAGAAGAGCGCCATGGGACATCCAAACAATCTAGATTTGAAACCCAGTCTCTCTCTGGTGTAGCCATTTTAGAAAACTAGTAGTGTCTGCTAGATCTGCTGAATAAGTGTACATAGAAGTGAATATTCATTAGAAAAAAGTGCCTATGTCTCACATAAGTCATATGTACACAAATATTCAGAGCATTATTCATAATATTTCCAAACTCGTACCAATCCAAATATCCACTAGCTGTGGAATACATAAACACATTCTTCTATGTTTATACTATGGAATACTATGTAGCAATTTGAAAAATGAATTTTTGCTATGCATAACAACATGGAGAATTCCCACAGACTTGAAACCAAGTGAAAGTAGTCAGACAAAAAAGAGCACAAAGTGTATGATGCCATTTATACAAAATTTTGACAGGCTAAAATAATTTTTGGTGGTTGACATCAGAAGAGTGGCTATATATGGTGGGAGTGTTGGTGGGGAGACACGAAAAAGCATTCTGGGGTTCTGGGAATGTTCTGGATCTGGATGGTGACTATATGCATGTATATATGTGTAAAACTCTAATGATTTATACACTTAAGATTTGTGTGTTTCACACTTGGCTCTATGTTAATACACTCAATTTTTAGAAACAAATTGCAAAAATTAATTTTAAGAAGTTAACGAAAACGAATCTCAATCCTGCCTCTTACCAATATGTGATCATGGACAAGATGTTTTGTTTTTTATTTTAACCTCATTTTCTTCATCTATGAAGTGATGATTGGAGACCTAAGCAGTCTGTTTCATCATTTTTTTAAATATAAAAACCCAATGTGCAACATTAATGAAAGTGCTTTGAAAAACGAAACTACTCTACTTAGTGAGCATGTCTTAGAGGGAGAGACACATAAAAGAACATGAAGCACCCTCCATTCTAGTTCTGTATCATGTGATGTTTTATTAACTCTAGAGATTTGTCAAGAGCCTGATGGTCTTGTCAACTCATTAGGCTTGAAGCACCCTTCTCTTGCCTACTTCCTAATGTCAGGGTCTTAATTTTTCATATATATATTCATCTGCCACATTCCATTATATGTAAACTTCAGACTGAGAAGAACATTCTCTGCTCTGTCGCACTCCAATGATTGTGGTTTTACCTCTTGACTTCTCTTGAGAAGTGCTAATTTTCGTTAATACTTATCTACATGCAAGTTGCAAGGAGTTACATTATCTACAATGTGGTAGACTAACAAAACAGTCTCTATCCTCTCTTGAGATGAAGGTTTGGTCTGTAATTTTGTAAATACTTCTAAGTGCCTCAGGAGTTTTACCTGACATAAGAAACGTATGCCAGGACCAAATTACCCAAGGAAAATGACTTGTTGATATGGTGCTATTTATTAGGGAAAAAAAACCCTTAAAGTCATAAGAGATAAATGTTTATCTCATTGGTCACAAACACAGGGAATTCTGTGTTTTCAGGGAAGCAGTTTCCATGGTAATGCCATTCCCCCGACATGCCATGCTCTCTCACCCTCCATCACTGGAACTGGAGTCTACTCCACACCTCACCCACGGTTACTCCCTAACTGGCTGCTGGACTCTCCTAGAGCAATAGGAGTGTACCCCTTTGCACCATTAATGTTGGATTTGACCATGTAATTTACTATAGCAAGAGGAATATGTGTTCATCACGGTATTTGACACATAGTCAGCATTCATATAGGCAAATAAACTGAACTAGTGATACTTCTATTCCTGGGTGGTTTTGATCTATATGCCATTCATTGTCTGTTTGCTTTCCACTTTTCTCCTCTGCACCATTCTGCATCACTGGGGGATGGGAGAACTAACCTTGCATACTGTATTTTCAGGCTTTTGTCAGTAGGTCCTAGATAGGTTCAGTCACTAAGAAGCACTAACAGTGAAAAGAAGGAAAAGCCAAGGTGTTTCTCTCCCTTTCTCTTCTTGGGAGGAAGAGGATGCATCTCTAGCAGGGGCTACTTCTCTTCTCTATTTCCAGCTCCCATCAGACAACCCTTCCTCCCCATGAATCCTGCCTTTCTGGCCTGCAGTTCTATGAAGTGGCCTGTGTTTCTGGGAAGCAGGGAGGACACATCCTTCCTTAATCCTTCCATCCCTAGGGGTGAAGCAGCTGGCTGTGGTTGCTAATCTCTGGTTTTCCTTGCCTTTCCCTATTTGCTCTTTGAATGTTTCTAATCCCTGCTATTTCCCCTTATTGGTTTCATTTTTCAGGCTGGACTATTTCAGAAGCTATGTACAAAATCAGGCTTTGTCTTAAATTCTGGTCCCTTAACCATGTTTGTTTTCCTCTCTTTTTTGGAGAGGATTCCTGGAAGATATTTTTCTCTATGGCTTCTTTTCCTGGTATTTTGTACTACTTCAGATAAGACTGTATTCAGAATATTATCAGCAGTCAAAAAGCTAACTCTGGTATATGTATTTGGCAATACATATGCTAAAATCGGAACAAAACAGAGAAGATTAGCATGGTCCTTGTGCAAGGATGACACCCAAATTTGGGAAGCATTCTATATTTTTTTGTGTGAACTAAATAAACTTTTCTATATTGTTGTACTTTTTTTTTTTAAAGAGAGAGAGAGAGAGAATTTTTAATATTTATTTTTTAGTTTTCGGCGGACATAACATCTTTGTTTGTATGTGGTGCTGAGGATCAAACCCAGGCCGCACGCATGCCAGGAGAGCGCGCTACCGCTTGAGCCACATCCCCAGCCCCTATTGTTGTACTGTTGAAAAAAAAAAAAAGCTAAACTGCTCAAAATTGTGAAGATGTCAGCTGTTCATAAATTGATCTATAGATTTGCTATAATTCCTCTCAACATTCTGTTTTTTTAAAAAATATTTTTTAGTTATAGATGAACACAATACCTTTATTTTATTTACTTATTTTTATGTGTTGCTGAGGATTGCACCCAGTGCCTTATACTTGAGAGGCAAGCACTCTGCCACTGAGCCACAATTCCAGCCTTAATGTTTTTTTTTTTTTAATGGAAATTGACAACTGATTTCACAATCTTATGGAAATGTAAAGAGTCAAGAGTAGCAAATACCCACCTAAAGAAAAACAAAGTGATAAGAGCTTTTCCACCAGATAGCAAGACATATTAAATAATATGATACAGAGAAAGTGTGGTACTGCTTCAAGGAACAAGTAGAACAATGAAATGGAGTGCATCCATGGTCTAGAAGTGTCCAGAAACATACCCATAAATGAACTCTAGATTTTTTTTCAAAACAACATTGAAAAACAGGTAAAAAAGGAAAGTGACTTTAATATAATATTTTCAGGACAATTTGGTGATGATATGGTAAAAAAAAATGTGACCATACTCCTGTCTCATATCATGTTTATTCTGAACCCTGCTTCCTTAAGGAAATATTAATTTTCCTTCTTTATCTTGTTTCAGAGAATTCTTCAGAAATACTCCTCCTGATAACTTCTTTTCTTCTGGAACAAATAGATATAGATGTAAGAGGTAAAATCATAAAAAGTTTATAAGATAATGAAGAGAGAGAAAAAAAAAGGAAAGCTGAGTCTGAATGTGGAAACTGACTATAGGCCAGGGCTGCCTCCCCCACTCCATTCCAATCGGCAATAATGAAAAGACCTTTCCGACATCAAGGTTTTCTTGATGACTAATAAAATCATCAGCCCAAGCACACTCTGAAAAGCCACAAAATGATGTTAATGTGCTTACCAAGGAGCAAGAAAAAAGGAAAGCACTGGAAAATCAGAATGCAGATGCTTCTGGAAGGTGGTGATTTAAAGGACTATTGGCAATCAGTACATTTTAAAGAGCAGTTGGAACCCTTATATAAATTCAACAGTGGAGAAAGAATCTCTCACTTATCTACATCAAGGAAGGGCCTCATTTGACATCTCCTTTTTCTGTACCCACTGCTTTACAGACGTTTTTGAACAATATTTTGGGGCCCTGAACATTCTTTTTCTTGTTTTGAAAGAATTTCAGATTTCAGACAAATATAAAAAATAGCATACATATCCCTACATGTTGTTCATCCCAATTGTCCAAATACTAACATGTTGTCTTACTTGCCTTAGCATTCCCTTCTTCTTTTTCTACTTCTTTATTTTTTTCCTAAAAATTTGAGAGTAAGTTGTACATATGAGATCCTTTTACTTTTAGAGACCTCAGTGTGCTTTTCCTAAAATCAAGGACATTCTCTTACATAATCACAGTACTAATTCTCAAAGCAGGAAATTAACATTAGACAATTAGACAATAAGATGATGTAATTCATAGATCATATTCCAATTTTACCAATTTTCCTACAAATATCCTTTTTAAGACGACTACTCTTTGAAATATTCTTTGGCTCTAGTTTTGGTGAGATAATTCCCAGCTTTTTCAGGAAGATGTAGCCAACCACTCAGCACATGCAAAAAGAATTTGAGGCCTCATTATTTTTTAGTTGTACATGCAGGCAATATCTTTCCCTGAATGAAGAGAACCCAAATGAAACTTTGCTTTGTTCCCCAAAGCCTGTGTTATTAGAGAAGATTGTTTCTCTTCTCTGTAGGGTTCTTGCCTCATGTTTTTTCCTGATTCCTCATTAGGCTGAGGCAGTTCATGTAAAAAATACTCTGTAAGATGTTTTCATCTCCTCACATATAATAACAAGATACTTTCCTATTTCAACTTAAAAGCAAGAGAGTATGCACAGGGTGTTCTAGTTCCTGAAAGCAGGTTATTCCATAAGCCACCCCTAATTCTATGCTTCTGTTATAAAGGAGTTATCAAAGGGCAAAGGGTAACAACCTAAATAAATGTCCATCAGAAAGAGAACTGGTTTGTCAGACATGGTGGCACACACCTGTGATCCCAGAGACTCCAGAGGCTGAGGCAGGAGCATTGCAAGTTCAAGGCCAGTCTCAACCTTGTCTTTTTTTTTTTTTTTTTTTTTTAAAGAGAGAGTGGGGGGGGAGAGAGAGAGAGAGAGAGAGAGAGAGAGAGAGAGAGAGAGAGAGAGAATTTTTTAATATTTATTTTTTAGTTCTCGGCTGACACAACATCTTTGTTTGTACGTGGTGCTGAGGATCGAACCCGGGCCGCACGCATGCCAGGCGAGCGCGCTACCGCTTGAGCCACATCCCCAGCCCTCAACCTTGTCTTAAAAACAAAAACCAAAAGGGCTGGGGATGTAGCTCAGGGGCAAAATGCTCTTGGGTTCAATTCCAGTGAGAGAGAGAGAGAGAGATGCTTGAATTCCAGCCTATCCATACTATGTAACACTGCAGTCATTCAAAAGAAAATGCAGCTGTATAAGTTCCAAACCAAACTAAATCTAAACCATAGAAAGTGACTCTGAAGAGGGGAATTGGGGAACTTGAGAATTGAGACTGAGGTGGGAGTACACCATTTTGTATCCTCTGATTTTTAAAATTATGAGTATATATTATGTTTGGAGGGGTGGGAGAAATCACAAATGGTAGATAGATTCAAAGACTCCACATTTGAAGGAACAGCAGGTCCCATAATCCCTAGCTGTGCCTTCTATTTTTAAAACCATCACTTCCTTTTTCATTTTCCCTGAACGACCATCTAGTACTGTCTCGTTAGCAGGAATCTTTCCCTCAGCTAGGTAGTGAAGTCACAAAACAGACCGAGTCATGCACACACTCTCAGCAGAACTGCCCGCACATGCACACAGCCTCAACTACACGTTTTTAGATTTGGAGGTGTGTGTGTGTGTGTGTGTGTGTGTGTGTTGGGGGGGGGGGGGGGGGGGACGGGAAACAAGCTTGAGCAATCTAAACCAGACCCCCTACCTCTCCCGGCGTCGCAGATCTACACTACCTTCCGTCACCCCTTTCCTTCCACCGCCTTACTCCCCACCCCCGCTCCAGACCTCGGAGCCTGGACTGGCGTAAATTTCCGCCTACTTGCGCCACCGCCCTGGGGGCTGCCTGATGACGTCAGGGCTGAGCGAGGGGGGTGCCTCCTTCTGGCTGCCCGCCTCTCCCAGGACTTGCGGCCCCCGCCAGCCCTTTAAAAGAGCTTGGCCTGCGCCAAACGCGCCACACCGCGGGGACCAGGACGCACAGCTGGTTTCCCGAGGCATCTCCATCTCGCCTTCCTTCGGCACCTCGCCTCCCTGGTCCAGCCGCATCCTTTTTCCGCGAAGGTTTTGGGCGAGTGGGGCCATGCAGCCGGCGGTGCTTCTCAGCATCCTGGGAGCCGCGGTGCTGGCGGGTGAGTGGGCGCGGTGGGCCCTTCAGCACCGCGGACAGCGCCAGCCCCGTTGTCCCCGCAGCTCCGGGCGTCCTGGCTGGCGAATAATGGGAATCAGGGAGGGTTAAGTGTAAGATTTCTCCCTTTACTTGAGGTTATTCATTTCTTCCCGTCCCTGGTTGTTTCCCTTAGATTATCCACCCCCGCCAGTGCTCCCCTCTGACTTGGAAAAGCCAGAGGATTCCCTAGCCCAGCCAGGAGAGTCTCGGTTTTGTCATGTGTGGTTTTCCAGGTAGCTAGAAAGGGAGAAAGCGTGCCGCAAACCCCACATTTTTTGCTCACTTTAAAGATGTCACACTCTCTCTGCTGGTCTAGAAAGTCGTTGTTGAGGTCTGGATTCTGTATTTGTTTTGACTTTTTATAGCCAGGTGACTACAGAGAGGTGGAAATTATGTAGTATGATATTAGTTGGCACCTGAATAATTTATTTTATTATTATGACTATTACTTCGTAAACAATTAGGTAAAACTGAGTTCCATATGCATAAAAGATAAACCTTTTTCTTAACATGTTTATATGTATGTTCACATATATGTGTGTACACATTTAATATATTTCTGCAGTATGCTTTTTTCATATCTGGAGAGAGGAGATTTCACATTCAGTTAATCCATTTTTAAGTTATGAATGGAAGCTGCACTAGACCTTTGTACTCCAGGAAAATAACTAGAGTATTTAATAATCACAAAAGTGTCTCTGGAGTAGTGGAAAATATTTTGTTTTAGTCAGGTTGGGAAGATGAAAATTTTAAGTAGTAGATATTTGATAGTTTTTCTTTATGTGTGGAAGATTGTGGGTTCCTCTTTCAAACTACTCTGAACCTCAGAGAAATGATCTTGGAAGATTCAAAGTTGTGTGTGTGTGTGTGTGTGTGTGTGTGTGTGTGTGTTTTGAAGTAAAGTCCAAATGGATAATCAGTCTATTGAGAAGTAAGTATACCACCACCAAATTAAAATAGAGGTTTTCTTTAGCTGTTTTGATGACCTATCGGAAATTATTTTCTTCTGAGGTTGATATTCCTGTCTAGAATTGAGATATTGAATATTCATAGCTATACCCATATCCATGAGTATGAAACTCTTATCGACAGCAATTTCTGTGTCAAAAAAAATGTTGAGACAAAATTAAAGCCAATGGTAATTTATTTTATTGGAAACTACATGCATTCAGGATTTTCTAAAATCTTTGTCATTCTTGCAAATTGCTAATAAATGTTCTCAATTTAATTAAAGGAAACCAAATGAATAATTTAGAATTCTTTATGG